TGAGTTTATAAAACATTAAATTATATTTATCATGTGTGGCGTCTTTGTCTTCTCTTTTTCTCTTACCTTCCCAACATTAATTAAGGGAAGAAAAAAATCCCAAAAGATCAGATAGACATAAATAAAGTTTATAATCTTAATGCTTTATTTGCTACTCCATGCAGATAATTTGATTTAGTTTAAATACATACCTATCACGTCCATATAATATAAGCCTATATCTGGTAATTAGACTTTTAATTTTAACCACTGGATTGATAGACCAGTCAGAAGCTAGCACGACCAGAGGGACTCGCCGGCACCATCGTACATAAAAGCCATGTCAACGTCACTGGAGAAGTCATTGTTCATCGGAAATGTAAAGCCAATCGGCAGCGGTTTAGTCTCAATACGGTGGAGCGTCTTCATATGGACCAACTCGGCCTGAGCAAAAGCCAGCTGAGTTTGGAGAGTCTCGAGTTGTTTGTGTAATGATGAAATTGTTCCTACACACCCGTACACAGGATCTTGTACCCTCGCGTTGGCCTCGTACACCAACGAGTTTACAGCGTCACTCCGGTGGTTCTCCGACAGCACCTACAATCGTTAAATTAAGTTGTATAGGATATTTATAATAGTATTTACTTTTTTATCACGTCATTATTGTATACAGTTGTTGAGTAAAACTTGCAGGTTTTGGCACTTTCATTCGTTTTTAGGGTTTTAGTTCTCTTGATCAGATAAAATCATCTATGGCGGTTTTCATTTAAAAATTTTAGGAAATGATATTATACTACATGATGTCTTTTTGTAATACACATGTTTGGAACACATGATGCGTTTGTTCGTTTGTAATGATTTTGTAAATGACATCTATATGTATTAACAGTAGACAATAGTAAGAAGACGCTATTATATATACATAAACTATTCACCGCTTCATAAATTAGCCATAAGATAACAAATAAGAAGAAATAATGTCATGACTCTGCCTTTTAACATGACATGCAATATAGACGTTTGATAGAAACTAGAAAGTGACTTCCTACACTATTCTTACACGCGGCTTCAGTATTTTCCAAGATACAGTTGAATTTGGAAAGAAAAAAAATCACATTGACAAGATCAAAAACTTATCTAGATTGATAAAACAAAATTGTAAGGATTTAATAAGCATGAATATCCAAATTAAACTAATCTGAAATACTTAAATTATATCGTCACACTATATAGACCATTGCGACATAAACTCACAGAATCATACAGTTGCAGATAGAAGGAACCACAAGTCACAAGCTGGTCAGTTTATATGTACATGTTTAGACAATAATATATGTTTCATATTTATAAATTTATATATCCGGCCATAAATTGAACACAAAATAACAAAAGAGAAAAGTGAAATTTCACCTGCAACATCTTAGTGACATTACTAGCACCAAAGATCTTGTGGACAATGGCAAACTTGTAAGGCTCCTTAGCCGGAAAATATGGAGCAAAAACGCAATCTTTCACACATTTTCTACGCAGAAGCTTACATCCGGCACAAGGAGACACTGCTCCTCCGTGTCTGTGACCCTTTTGTCTCATTTTAAAGAAAGAGTTTTTTTGAGACTTGAAAGCAAATGATCAAGAAGAGGAAAAGACTTTAAAGAACAAACTGTGAGTGTGTTTATATAGAGAAAAATAGAAAGTAAGACATGAGATCTTCTTTTTGTCCAATTCAAAAGTAACAAGTCATATTAGATTTGCTTTGGTTGGACATAAAATCTCACCTCTATTCCTTACGATTTCTGTGGCCCACGTATAAATTCTCAAATAAGTTTTTTATACGTATATTTACGTTGAAATGTTTTTCTTGTTTTGTTTGTATACTGAATTGAATAATATGGATATATAGTTTCCTCTATAGTTTCTTGCAAGTTGAAGCAACATTGCGTATCTATTTTCTTCTTGTTTTGGTCGGGTATGGGGTTGTCACTTCTTGGTGAATCAAGATATAGTTTTCTTTATAACCATATGATATCGTTTTGTTTGTATACTGAATTGAATAACCTTACATATTGTTTGTGATCTTGTTTGAAACTCTTGTGAGATATGAGATTTTATGCTTGAGGAAGAAGTAAATCCAGATATTGAATAAGTTTAAGCTCGAATCTTCATGTGTGTGTACATAAAAACAAAAAAAAACAAAAAACTGGAAGACGTATGCATATCAGAAAATCTTTTACTTGATTTGTATACCATCATTGTACGTCCAACTAGAAAAAAACAAATAACAGATACAACACTGTTATTTGTAGTCAAATGGTTCACACTTTCAACGTAAGGATATACAGAATTAATTTGAATGAATATATTATTTCATCTTCCTAGACAATATATAAACACAAATTAGTGGAGGAAAAAAAGAAAAAAAAAACACAAATTAGTTAAATACAAAGTTGTATTAGGAGTAAATCTTTGTTTTGGTAAAAAAGACAAAACGCGTCGTTTTGTTTAAATAAAAGGTAAAAAAACAGATGTCTCTGTTTCTCCTTTGATATCTATTGTGGTTCTGTTTTGTTGTTGCGAAGACCAGACTCTCTCGGACTCGGAGGTATGTTCTTCTGATCTGTGCTATTTTCTTTTTGTTGCCTCTTGATTCTATCTGATCGTTTCTCATCTCTACATGTCTAATGCGTAATCATTAGATCTCTATAGGCTCTGAATTTTCTATAATTTATGATTTTTTGCGATAATCTGATCGAATCTGTTGAGTTGTATGATTAGATTACGATGAAATATGGATAGTATTTGGTTTCCTCATATAAAGTTTCATCCTTTACGATGAAGAGATTCTAAAACTCTTTCGAGTTCGAATCATAAAAAAAAAGAATTTCTTTTTTGAGAATTTCATTAACAGGAATGATCATTTCCTTTGCCCAGATGGTGGACCGTTTATGGACAGTTCTCTTGCTAGTGTTGTCATGCATTGTCAGTTTTTCGTATGCTAGTCTTGGCGATAAGGATCCAAGTTACAGGTATGTCTTTTTCATTTTCTTTAGGACTAGGACAGAGCTTGTCTCTGTTACTTTGTATTCTTAAGAGTTTATGTTGAAGATAGACTGTAATGTTCTTTGAGTTTCTATCATGAACTTGGTTTTGGTAGTAGTAGTAGATCGCATGCTGACAGCATTATCTGGTATTTTTGTATCAGGGCTTGTGTTGGAGAATGCGAGGTAAGCGGCTGCGTTGGAAAATTATGCTTTCCTCAGTGCAATTCTTCATCCAACGTTGGTCCATGGTACACACAAGAGCCTCTTTATCTACAATGGCAAAAGTGGGGATGTCAAGGTGATTGCCGTTATCACTGTATGGTTAATAGAGAGAAAGAACGTGAAACTCTAGGTCAACCCCCACTCAAGTATCATGGTAAATGGCCTTTCAAACGTCTCCTTGGGATTCAGGTCTGATCTTTTTTTCACCTTTTAAAATCTACTGCTTTCTTCAATCCAGTCCATTTGATTTTTACCATGTTTGTTTTTGCTTAGGAGCCTGCTTCTGTTGCTTTCTCTGTGCTCAACCTAGCTATGCATTTCTATGGCTGGCTCTCCTTCTTCATTACACTGTACTATAAGTTGCCTCTCAAACAAGATAAGACGGCTTACTATGAATACGTTGGTTTGTGGCATATCTATGGTTTCTTGTCCATGAACTCTTGGTTCTGGAGTGTAGTTTTCCACAGTCGGTAAGTATCTACACATTACTTTTATCATCCACAATCTTCTGGTAATATATCTATATGGTTTCTCAGGGATGTTGATATCACAGAGAGGTTGGACTACTCATCTGCAATAGCTGTTATTGGATTCTCACTCATTGTATCCATCTTAAGAACCTTTGATATTCGGGTTGAGGCTACAAGAGTCATGGTATCCGCTCCAATACTAGCTTTTGTCACCACCCACATATTGTACATTAACTTCTACAAACTTGACTATGGTACACCGCAAAACTCTTTCCCTTATCTGAAACCAAGTCATTATGTTTTCTTTTGCATTCTTGGTGAATTCAGTGTTTGTTTACAGGTTGGAACATGATTGTGTGTGTGGCCATGGGAGTAGCTCAGCTTCTCCTATGGGCAAGATGGGCTGCAGTCTCTAGACATCCTTCTAATTGGAAACTGTGGGTGGTTGTGATAGCTTCAGGCTTAGCTATGCTTTTGGAGATTTATGACTTTCCTCCATATGAAGGCTACTTTGATGCTCACTCCATTTGGCACGCTGCCACCATTCCTCTGACTGTTCTCTGGTGGAGCTTTATTAGAGACGATGCTGAGTTCAGAACTTCTAGTCTCCTCAAGAAATCTAAGACAAAGGCAAAGTAAGTCCACTGACAGATGCAGAGGTTTCTTGAGTATTCTTTTCAATGTCTTTATTCAGAGCTTTGGTTAATTGAGATTTTGATTTTAGTTTCTCATCCTTCATACACATTGTTGCTAATCTTTTTGGATTCAAGACTTTTGTTAATATATTATGAGAAAATCTTGTGATCTATATGATTGTGTTAACAATTTGTTATTTTACATAAGTTGTGTGAAATTGAAGGGTTTAATACTTTAATCAAACAAAATTGAAGGGTTTAGTAAGCTTAAATGATCATTCAAACTAATGTAATCTAGGAGTATCAATCCGATTGGCCTGATCTAAGCCCATCTTATATATTAAAACAGAAGTCATGACTTGACTTCATGTGTGATTTTTTAAAAAATGGACTATTACTAGAAAGTTATGTTACATTAATTCTCAAATAATCTTATCATTATTATAACTTATGAAAAATCATATCTATAATAACAAAGATACGCTTAACAATTTGGTTTTGGTAAATTAGTCCACACCTTCCAACTTAGTCACACAAAATATGTCAATAGATATAAATTTAGGAATCTTCTATTATTTATAAGGAAATATGTCAATAATAGTTAAATGCATCCACAATATATTAACAAAAATCAAAGATTAGTAATATGGAATATTTATATACCCTAAAAAATTTACACCATATATATATATATATATTTTATAAATTTATTTCGATGTAAATTTTTAAACTTATATTTTTTTTAAAAAAGAAATTGTTTAAAAACTGCCTTTTTAATAAAATTCTTTATAATATTAATTTATAAATCTATAAGTTTAGGTTTTTAGCAAAACATTCTTCAAAGTTTATATTATCTTTCAAAGTAAAGTATACTTATATTTAATCAAGCTCTATTTATATTAATTTATCTAAAAATGAAATATCAGTCTAACAAACAATAAAATATAGAAGAAGAAATAAACACATATAAAAAATTTGCAACAATCTATTTGATTAAAACACATATTATATAATATTATTACGCTTGAAAAACATTTACTATACATATCGTAAATATATGATTACTATAATATATACCAATTTACACGTGAAAGCAAAATGTTTATATAACTGACTATAAACGAAAACAAACACCCGCGCGGTTGCGCGGGTTAAAATCTAGTTAAAATTAAAATTTAAGTTTAGTCCAGTTTGGTTCACAATTTTTTTGGCAATTTTAAACCCGAACTTGAAAGAAAGAAGAAATTTCAGATTTTTTTAGAATAATTAATTATAATTTTTTTCTTTACTAAGAGTATTCGCATATGGTTTAAAATCATATTATAAACAAATCAAATTTAATAAAAATTAAATAGTCAAACTAAACTAATACCATGTTATAAGAAGACAAAACTTGTGTTAAACTCAATCAAACATTTGACACTTTCTATTTAAAAAAATATGTTCTACATGAAGAGATAAAAAAAATATTTGTCAAACTTATAGTGTAATTCTTGTAATAATTAAATAGTAAAGTATATTGGCATCTTCCCTGTTTGATTTGTTAGAGTTTGGATCAGAATAGGCTTATCCCTAAAAGTTTATATATTCCATATTTTCCCAAAAGATATATGTTCCATATTTGAATGGAATACTACGTGTATGACTAAATAGTAAAGTTTTTTTTGTAGATATTATAAAACACTATATATCTGAATAAAATAAATATTATTTATATTACATTTAATAATTTATTAAAATTTAGCTAATTTATATTTTCCTTAGTAATATAAATTATTTTAATTGATACATAATAATTTCTTTATATATACATTACATATTTCACATGTGTTATATAATATCTACAACATAACATAACTACAACAAAAATTGCTGTAAAAATATTTACATCAGTAAATTTACATTTACATTATAAATTATCCAGCTAAAGTACAACCAATCATGTGCAGTCATGTTTTTTTTGAGATACCATGTTGAGTATCTGATGAATAATGATTCTCTAAGAACATCTCAGATGCAAAATTTCATACAATATTTCAAAAAAAAAGATAATGATAAAAGACAAGAAAATGTTTCTGTTTAAAACCCGCATGACTCACGAGGTACCATTACAACAGTCAGCTTCATTGATCCATTCTCACTATTAAAATTTAAATAGATACTTAAGTTCTACTAAAATATCATATTATTTTAGGTAGATAGTCAAAATAAGATACTATATGGATTCAATCATATCAACAACTATATTAAGAATAACCTTGAAGCTAGTATAATCACTGAGATAATGACTCAATCATATCGTCGGGTTGATATGGGGTTTGCAACAAGTGAGCTTCCATTAAATAAAATCGATTACAACAATGCAACTTAGATTGTATGAACAAATAATGTTCCAAGGCCTTGCAGGATTATTCCAGGGTACAAAAAGTCAACATAATTAGTCAACTCAACATACAAAAAAGTCAAAGACGGTCGACAAAGAAAAAACGGATTAGAAAAAGTTGTGGTTGGTTGGTGAAAATAAATGATATGGGAAGAGAGTTTAGTCTGCAAAGAAGATAGAACAAAAAAAGCGATGAATTCAAATCCCAAAATGAAATATGATGTGTTCTTGAGTTTCAGGAACAAAGACACTCGTGACAATTTCGTAAGCCATCTATCTGGCTGTCTACGTAGGAAACGGATCAAAACCTACTTATACGACGAGCTACCAAGCGAAGACAGATACGAAGAGACACTAAAAGCAATAGAAGTCTCAAGAGCTTCAGTGATTGTGTTCTCTGAAAACTTTGGTGATTCGAAGTTTTGTTTAGATGAAGTTGTTGCTATCTTGAAATGCAAAGAAGGGTTTGGTCAGATTGTGATACCTGTCCTCTACCATGTTGATCCTGTCGACATCGAAAATCAGACAGGAAGCTTTGGAGAAGGCTTTGCCAAGCGCCGAGATAAAGTTGAGCAGCTTAATGGATGGAAAGATGGTTTTACAGAAGCCATTAATCTCCCTGGATGGAGTACTTCCCACTTTAGGTATCATCACTACACTTCATACTTTATAGCCTATGTTTTAGCCTTTAATAGAGAGAGATATGCTTCTAATTTACCAGGGATGAGGAGATGTTGGTGAATGAAATTGCTCTTGACATCGAAAACAAACTTCTAAGAGCGTCAAGAACAAAGGTTTTTAAATTTATATATTAAGTTTTAAGGTTTTGTAGCTAAAATTTTGTTGGCCAAAATGATTTGAATCCATGTCTATATTACTTTAAAATAATTTCTTATTTAAGATGTGAGAATCTTAATGAACTCTTTGTTTTGTTTTTTAAACAGGTCATAATTGAATGGTCTCTAGTGATCACCAACGTCATATTGGAAATACCTTCATGTGTGCTGGACCAGATCTCTTCTACTCATAAACCTTTGTATGCATTGGCTGCAATGTCATTGTCATTTTTATCTTGTCTACTTTGCCTCGTAGATCTCTTACACAAAGGCCGAGTTGAGAGAGTTGTGTGGAAGTGGAGTTGGCCCATTCCTTGGTTTCACTATCCAACTCAGAGACCAAACAGATTTGGTAGCTTTCCAGATATGGTTGGATTGGTTTGCGCCTTGTGTCAAACCATTCTCACAGCTATTAACTATTCATTCATCATACATACAGATGATTCACCCATCAAGTTCTCTGTTTGGCCAATCATGTTTGCTCTTGGTTTACTTTGCACTTTGTTTATCAAAAGATCTAGCTAGCAGCTCTGATAGTAGCTGAACTGGAACACTCAATGCGTTTGGTGTACTAAATTTCAAAAGAGTATGTTCTTATGATTCATGTGTGACAGTTATGTTGTGTTCTTATGATTCATGGTTGAGTCTTGGGTTGACTACTTGATCATTCTTTCAACACACTCAAAAAAGGTGAAGTTAATGGTTAGAAGAAGTGGCTGCAATAATTTGCTTCATCGACCACCAAGAGATAGCGGTTCCACCACCTGTAAACAAATATCATGTTTATGATCTAGCATTGAGGAGATCAGACATCAACTAATAAATCAGATCTGCATGGATCACGAGATCTTATTGAGTAGTAAAACAAAAGTATATGCGTGTGAGATAGTGAGAGAGCTTGAGGATTTTGCCTGAGTAATTAAAGGTTTTGCACAAGCTTCCCACTCTGTAGCCCATCGACCTGAAGAACCAGTCTCCATTGCACCCGCTTTAAGCGAAAGTAGGGCATCACACTTGCCTGGAAAGCCCTTGAAGAGGCCCTGTTCAGAAAAAGGAGAATACAAGAACATTACTGGTGTTAACTAGGGTAAAAAGTTTCTTTATTGAGAGACGATGAGTTACTACTTACCAGTAACTGATCTGCTAATTCCGACGAAGATGAAAATAAGAGTCCGTTCTGCCCATCCTTAACGAGTTCTTGAATGCTTCACAAATGTTTAAGGTTTAATAGTGTTATTACAGTCCCTATTCATGAAACTATTGAAAGTCACTGATTATTTACCATGAGTAGGAAACAGAGCAAACAGGAAGGCCACATCCGAACATATCAACAACCTGAGACGCCACACATCGGTAACAAGTTGATAAACTGAAAAAGGAAGCCTTATGACTTAAACCTTATATGAACAATTCTAATGGACTTACCTTCATGGGAAGGTCTAAACCCGATGAGGAAGTGTGTAAGCAAACACCAAGATCTGCGGAACCTAAAAGCAATGGGTAATCTTCAGCTGCAAGCCACATTGTGCGGAATGCCACATGTTTGAGGTTCAATCTTTTGATTTTCTCCTCGTACATCTCCTTTTCAGGTCCTTTACCTTCATAGACAATGTCAAATAGCTCATGATCAAAAACAAAAACAGCGAAATAGTTATTAGGTTCTAAACACAAATAAGTTATTATCTTTACCTGTAATGATGAACAACAAGTTGGGGTAAAGGTCCTGCTCTTCTGAAATTTTGGCTGTATCACTTCCTTTAGATCTTGCAGCAACACGCCGATCATACATCACTGCGGCTTCCAATAGAATACCAAAATTTTCATCAGGGGTCCTGAAGAAGTTCATATTCTAGTATTCAGTGTCATGGAAAGATGATACCAAAAGAGTGAAAGTGAACAAAGAATGATGATATGTCCTCACCAGCTTGTACTGCTCACAACGAGAGCTGGTCTGTTTTGCTTCAGCAAGATGTCAGCATTAGTTTTGGTAGTAAAAAGGGTTTCGTCAAGCTGTTGATTCTCCAACTCTGAATATGAATTATGAATTTTAGTATTAATGAATGGAGAAGCTCAAAAGGAATCAAAACATGGACTTTTAATTTCAAGGAGATACCTCTACTAATGATATCATAAACACCAGATGGATGACAAAGATCTTTCTTCACTCGGCAAAACAACTAAAGAAGTAAACCAAATTTTCTGTTACTCTCAATGCCAAACTCTACACTGAGTGAAAGATTGATAAAACTAATCTAAAACGGAAGAGAAGACCAGCTAAACCTCGTGCCTTTCTTCAAGCAAAGCAGGGCGGAAAAACTCAGGAGGCTGATCATATAAAACTTTGGCTCTGTGTTTCAGTCCAGAACATTATTGCATACAAAATCAGAATCACATAACTTTCTATGAGTAATTTCATCTCACCTCACTCCCCAATTCTGTTCAAGTTCATGTTGCATTGCTTTCGTCATACATAGCGAATCTGTAGCCATCTTTCCGTAATGCATCTCAATCCTAAACCATGCAAAGAAAATCACTTCAACTTTTGGACCATTAATAGTTTAAAGGCCATTATAAAAGGTTTTATATACTTACCAACGGTATAAGGATACAAAGACGTTGTTTCTTCCCAAGGACAACGCCAGCAAAGTATAACCAAAATTATGCCAATCTACAACAAACGCTGCACGCCTCCATGAACTCGCCCACTTAACAGCGACTAGTGTTGGAACAGAAGGAGGATTCTGCAGAAACAACTCTGTTTAACTTACGCAAGAAAAAGCTAGAAAAATTTTCAAAGTGAAAAGAACGAAGACTTTACCTGAACCAAGAAAAGGTCAGGTGCTGGTACTTTGACGAAAAGAAACCAGAGAAGCATTGTAAACTGAATAAGTGCCTTGAGCAAGAGAGTTACAGGATAAAGCATCTTCGGCAAGAGGTGAAAGAATCGAGGCTGAGCCTAAGTTACCCCAAAAAAGTAGAAGAAACAGATTATGATGATGATGAATCTACAAATATTATTCTAGTATTATGTTTGATGATTTGATCTAAGAAGAGTACCATGGTATGAATGTGGATTGATGGGTGCTTTAAAACAGCTTCATGAGGTATAGAACCTAATCATGAAAATCCAAAACCAATCAAACAATCTAATGATGAGTCACAAGAACACACACACACTAAAGTAGGAATCTTTACCTCCATATGCAACAATGTCCACTTGATATGATGTCTGCATTTTTCATGTGACAAAAGTATATAGAAGAACTGAACTGAGGTATAACATGATCAAATGTAAATAGAGAGATGAACCTGACGAGCAAGAGAAAGAGCGTGATATTGCATCCGAGGACTTCGACCAAGATCTCCAAGTACAACTACACAAGCCCTTCCTCTCTTCCCCATCGTCAAAATATAATCTAATCTCGTCATAAAAGTTAAATATCACAACTTTATCGAGCTAAAATTACATCTGCTTTAATCATACTCTATTACTCTGTTACTGATCAACGAGAAATTACCAATTCAACACCTTAAAATACGAAATTTAAACAAGATAAAGAGAGAGTAAAAACGCTTTCAGAAAAAAAGATCAAACCTTACGGTATCTCTCAGATTCCGTCTATGGTGCATTGGTCGGTGCTGCTCCGGTAAAAACTTTTCCGATGAGAGACGGAGGAGGGAAATGAGAAAAAAACGTAAACGTGGGCCAGCGAAGTAATTAAATGGGCTCATAAGATAAAGCCCATATGGAATTACCATTAAAAAGGTCACGTGTTTGTCGCGTGCGTGTTTTAGTTCGACGGAAAGGGAGAAGAAGGATGATAATCCCTCAGGTAAACGGCTAATCGAGCAACTTTGCCGATTTGTGATTGTGGGACGCTGATGAACATGAAGAAGGGTGATAATCCCTCAGGTAACTTTCTGCTTTTAAACTTTTTAATCTCGTGAAATATGCATATGATTGATTTTTGGCTTTTGTCTCTCATCTGCTGCTTTCAGGAAAAGTTGCTAATACTCTGGTGGAGTTTTTGGAGGTAGCCATCACAATGGTTGTTTTCCTCAAAGGCTTTTACCCATCTGGTGAGTAAGTGAGATGGGTAACTTGTGTTTAATATGGTTGTTGAATTTACATTTGTCTTGGTGCTTTTGTGAAGCGGCGTTTGAGAGGATGAGATATATGAATGTGGTGGTGCAAAGGGCAAGGCATCCTGAGCTACGAGACTATATTCACTTTTCTGCTTCTGGTTTGCTTCCTTTTATTGAAAAGGTTAGTGTCTAATCTTGGTACATCAGTCAATGTCAAAACAACTTTTTTTCCACCATTGAAGAAAACCCACTTCAAAGATTTGCCTTTTGTTTCCATTATTTTTTAATGATCGTTAAAAGAATGACGCTTTGAACAATGTTTGAAACAGGGTCTTGTTGAAAGAGTAGCAGTCATCTTTTTCAGTAATGATAATGTTCCTGTGGAGAGGTTCATCTTCAAGCTCACCATTAACCCCTCTTCTGCTGCTTCTGTAGAAGAGAGTCAACTGGAATTTAGGCTTAGGTCCTTCTTAGTCAAGCTTTCCGCCTCAAAATCCCTTGTCAAGCCTCTTCCTCCCAGTAATTACATCTCTAGCTCCATTACTTTGCCTCCTGGATGTCGCATATCTTAACAACGATGTTTCAAAACTTTTTCCTACTCTACACAGATTGTAGATGGGAGGTAACGGCTTATCTAAGGTCACTTCCTGAAGTGGGTTCAAGCAAGGAAGGTGAGCTATGGATTCCAACAGATACTAAGCAGTGGATGAAGCCGCCAGTTATTACGCCTGTCAAATCCCTGAACAGCGAGCCACTCTGCTTGCAACTTTACTTGGAACACCCATGTCTGTCTGAAACACAACCTTGTCAAGAAGCCCAATGATTTCTCAATTTACAATTATCATTTGTATAAACGCACGAGCTTGTGCCTAAGTCGACCCGCTTTCTGACTCCTGATGCATAATTGTTTTTTGTACCGTCTCAGCAGAACGTGAACGAGAAGCATATCGTTATATATGCCAAGCCATACCTCTTTACATCGCCTCTTGAGTGATACTGTCTTAAAAGAACAATTAAATTCTCATGGAATAACAAGAGAAATACTTGAGGCCTAAACAAGATCGTTCATGTTCATCCGTTTATTACATTTCATGGGGATACTGAAATCAAAGAGTCTGTCGTCACAACTCATAAAATAAGACTACTGAAATCAAAATCACAAAAAGCATCTTTGAACATCAGAAACTATAGCCACAACTCTCAGTTGTTTACTGGTGAAATTTCTGCGGAGACATGATGAAGGGAAATACAGACTAAAAGACTTCAATATTGTTTATTACATTATGTTTTTCGAGGAGGCGGTGAGCTGCTGCTGCTGCTGTTACTGCTGCTTCTTTTTCCTCTCAGTGGCCTACAAATTACCCAACAACAAAACCATTCTATTCGATTAAACTTTGTGGGCTAAAACATTTATAGATTATTTGTACCAAATTCCTTTTGTCCCTTTTTCATCACATTCTCGTTAACCATCAGTTCCAAGATTATCACTACTGTTATTAAGCCCTAGTCCCTACACATGTTGCCTTTTATAGCACTAGTGTGAGCATATATTATTATTAATCTTCAATATCAATCACCTGGAGTTCTATATGGATCACGTCAGAACATTTATAAGCGTCAGTTACTACTTACTAGTATATTGTCTCCCATCAGATTTTGAACTCACAGTCGAGATTTTTTATGCTAATGCATGCTACAGAGTACAGACTAAATTGTTTCCAAGTTTAAGATGTGAACAGGTGTTACGCGGAGAAAGTCATTTACCTCTTAGGACTGCGGCTTCTTGAAAGCTTCCTAGGACTGCGGCTCCTTGAGATCTTCCTAGGAACCTGTAAGTTTTAATAAACGCAAACAGAATGAGCACATAACTAAACAAAGCATCATCATTAAAAATTATATGTAAAAAGGTATTTGCACTAAGCCCTTACCCTTCTGGGACTTGGCGAACTAGAATAAGAAGATGACCTTCCACGTCTCCCAGCTGGACCTCGTCCCCTGCTCACAAGCAAAGACAAATTTACACCAATTGCAAACTCCACATAGATCTATATAACTTAGTCATATTTGATATAAACGTCTCTATGAACCAATACGTAACAAAGCTACATACAAGGATAACACACAGTAGGAATTTGAAGTATTAGCGTAAATTATGCAAAATTTAAAAAACATGTCATGGCTCTTATATCATCATATGTACTATCTAGGCTATGCAACTGCAATCAAATAAAATTCAGGAGATATCAAAGATAGCCCTAACAACATTTTAAATGGGTCAAGGCATACCTGCGGGGTGAGATGGACCTTGAACGAGATCGAACAGGCCTACGAATCGGGGATCGGCTACGTCTGCGGATAGGGGATCTTCGGAGGGGACTGCGTAGCCTCCTTGGAGGTGACCTGTAACATGTCCAACTCAAAATATTTACAACACTGGCACTTTTTCCAGCTCTAACGTACCGAGTACCATAGCCTACGACGCAGTAATTCCCATACTCCAATCACTAGGTAATTTGTGTAACGCATAGACTTACCTTCGCCTTAGAGGAGGAGGAGACCGTCTTCGAACCGGACTGCCACGGATTCTTCTAGGAGACCCCCTGTTGACATGAAAAAGATGAGTCTATTGATTCTGAAAACACCAAACAACATATGCTACCACAACTAACCTTGGAGGAGATCTAGGTCGTCTTGGAGGGGGAGAAGATGGAGAACGGCCTCTAGATGGCGATACTGCCCTGCGTCTAGGTGGTGTATCACCACGACGGCGAATGGGAGAGCTAGGCCTCCGACGAGGAGAAGAAACAGGTAATCTCCTTGGTGATGCGCCTCTCCTAGGCAGTGGTGATCGCCTTCTTGGAGAAAGAGATGTTTTCCGGTGTGGGGAAGCTAATCACATATTGATAATAATCATTAACACCATCTGAAGCATATATACAGCAATAACAAAAATGAAAAAATAACATGAACATAGACGTACTCTCTCTTGGGCGCTTGGGCTCATCTTTCTCAACTTCAGCACTGGCGTTATCAGATTTTGGAGCCTCTCTTTTAGGTGCACTGGAAACAGGTTTAGAGGGTGGAGGTACTTTCTGACGCGGTGGTAGTGTGAACTTTGCTTTAACAAAATTCCCATCAATTTGGCCCTGCGTTAAGTAAACAAAAAAAAAATGCATGCATAAATCTTCTCAGATAACATGTTGAGTTAATAACATAGAACATTTCATATTTGAAAAGACATACACCATCCATAGACAGCTGAGCTTTCTCAGCATCAGTTCTTGCTTTGAACTCAACATAAGCATATCCTTTTGGAAGATTAACCTGTTAATGTGTGAAAAAGTTATGAACGAATTTCTTATCAAATAATGTCAGAAACAACAGAGCACAGTAAAATAGCAACTTACAGCTCGATCCATCGCAATTTCTACATGAACAACTTCACCAAAGTTGCCTAAAAATACGTCAAAAAGCCTTTATTAAAACACAGTATGAAGACATAACTTGTAGCCAACCAAATTGTTCAGTACAAACAAAATACAACAACCATAAAGGCATTGACTATCCATGAAATTTTATAGTACTGATCTTAGTTGAGGTCAAAAGCAATGATGTACACAGTTATCACGTAATGAAATCAGAATAAGGGATATGCAAGACTAACAATTCACATACCAAAAATCTCTTTCAGATGGCCTTCATTAACATTCCTGCTAAGAGAATCAACATGGAGAACAAGTGATTCCTGAATAGGTGTAGCTTTCCTGAAATTATAATTCAATTTGTAAAATCAGCAAAACAAAAGTGAGGATCTAATGAAAAAGCATAAACACTGAGACTTTCAAGCAGAGAGAGATACAAACACCATAAAAACTACACATCAGATGACAATGTTACCACTATTCTCTAATGTAATTGTATTTTTCTAACTACGACTTACTTAGAAGGTGAAGAGGCTCCTTTAGACTGTGGAGAGCGACCTCGCTTAGCAGCACCAGCAGAACTGTAAAGATTAGATCAAAACAACCAGTTTAAACGATAAGATATTCTTAATGCGACACTCTCTCGAATCCTCTGATTCTCTTAATAAGCCGAATCAATAGGAAGGAAAACCAGATTTGGACTCAAATCACTAATGGAGCCAGATTAGAGATGTTAGAAGGGAACCGTTACCTTTTACCACGACGAGGAGGGCTGCGACTCCCTGAACTGACGCTCCGGGAAGGAGATGAAGAAGAAGAGCGCGAAAGAGACCTGGACCGGCTCGAACCGGAGCGGGAACGAGATCTAGAGCTGGAACGAGATGAGGAACCGGAGACGGAAGGAGAACGACGGCCACGGCTTGGTTTCGCCATTGGCGAGATAATCGAGCGAAAGCGAAAGCGAAACCCCTCTGCTTCAAAACCCTAAAGGATAAAAGTAAAAGACGAGAGAGAGACTGTGATTCTGTTTTTTTTGGTCCACAAGATAATACGTGGCGGGTTTTTTTATTTTAAAGGGCTTTTAGCTTATAGGGCCATGTATCACTTTTGATGGAATTTAAATGTGGTCTTTTATAAAACTTTTATTTTGTAAAACAAATAAATTTCTACATAACATTTTTTCATAAGTTCTTGAAATTGAATAAAATTTGAACAAAGAATAGCAACTATAAAACCCAGTCACTCAATAGTACTCTCCTCATGAATATATTTTGATATTAATTTTATTTGTTTTATTGTATATTTGTATTGCTGGTTTCAAGCAAGGAGTGAAACATGTATTTTAAATTTTAATTAGCAACTATAAAAATAGAAATATAAATGAAAAGGAAAATAACGAGTACAATTTTGATTAGAAATGTTTTTGTTTTATAATTTGTTAAATTTTAAATAGTGACAAAGAATCATACTTAACAAATGTTTTCTTATAAATGGTGTAACTTTAAAAAAAATGAATAAGAATTGATTATTCCCTTTAATTTTCTATGCCGCCATTTAGACCATTAGTCTCTAAATCCAAAAAAGAAAATATGGTTAACCCCACAGATTAGGTGATGAAATGCATAAACAATGACAACAAATTTTTTTTTTTAAAGCAATTACAGTCAAGAAAGTGAAAGCAAACTTCACCACATTTTCATGTTTAGTTCTTGTATGTATCAAGAACACAAGGAAGAAATGGGACTGTGTTCACACGAGTGAAAAATGGGGACGGGTGAAAAACAGCTTCTCCAGGTCAATTCTCTTCACTGCTCCATCAATTTGATGCATGAAACTTCACACAAAAGGATCAAACGGGAGTTTAAAAGCTTTAGGGTCAGCGCCTTTTAGCAATGATGGCAACATTCCTAGGTGATATGGTGGGATCAAAGATGGGAATCATTTCAACCTCAATGGAGTCTCCTTGTTCTTGGAGAAACATGAGTCTATCAAGCAAGATCAACGTCTCAAGCACTGGTCCTAATGAAGCTCGAATAGACCAGTACGGCCCTATCAGTTCCTGCTTTTTATTTATTTATTTTATTTTGAGTTTTAACACCACCAAGAGACAAGCATCCGTCAATTTGTGAGAATCAGAGAGAGCGAGAGAGTTGAGGAATACGCTTTACCGTGAATGCCTTAGCTTCATTCCATGTGGCACTGAGGTCAAGATCTTGAGGATGTTCTAGATTCAGGCTTGATAATGCTGACTTGCAAAACTTCTCAAAAGAAGAACTTGTAGTATGCGTCATGGATTTCTTGTCATTGGTGTCTGTAATGAGCTATTAGACATAAGCAAACCAATCTTGTATTAACCTGAAAATAGAATCTAATCCACTGATATCATCACCTTCCCTACTTGTATCTACTGTTGCTGGAGCTTCTCTGGCTTCTCTTTGCTTCTGATTACGGAACGCCTTACCTTGGCGCCCAATAGAGGGACTTGTCGCCAAAACCTCTGGATAATGTTTCCACAGAACCTTCAAAAGAGTGAATAGGTTCGTTACTTGTTATAAACAATCACTAAAGATTCAGACTAAAACTTATCTTACCATTTGGAAAGCAGCACGAAAAGAATGCAACTCAAAGTTTTGCAGACCAGCCTCTTCTCCTAAGCTGCTCCATCTCTCAGCACTCTGAGAAACCACATGAATTTTTTTTTTTTTTAACATTACCAAGAAGAACATAACGATTCAAAAAACAACAACACTGCAACATCCAAGATAGATACAGACAAATACCTGACAAGCTAGATTACGTGCATTTTTGCTAAGCGAAAATCCCAAAGATTCGAGACAAGCGCTTATCGGGAAACCAGCGTCCTCAGATAATAAGTTGTAACAGCAGCCAATGCTCACTACGGCTTTAACTTCTTTGCATTCCATAAAAGTCCTGCCGAAAATCAAGTTGTTTCAGCTTTTAGGGTCTAAAAGTCTAACACACAGCAACCAGAATCAAAGAACAAGTGCAGTAGGCACTCAAAACTAACCGTAGCATTGTAACAGATAAATCTCCACATGCATGGAGGCCAGCAAGAACAAGTGAACACAATCTATTTGGAGTTTCATTCAATGCACTTGCGTCATTTTTCTCCAAAGGAACATCCGTCAAGGATTTTAACATCTCTGTGGATAATACACGGCATGTAATCGTCATTGGACCATCTGGGCACTTGTTTCCTGAACTACGAGAGAGAAGAGGTTAACTCTAAAAAAAACAGAACTGTGCAAACAAGAACAAGCAAATCATTGAAGTTATCTCCTCTTAGTAGAAGTTTTATTATGTTGCTTTGAATGAGGTTACCCAGTTTTACGCATTTGTGCTGCAAAATGCTTTCTTATACGTGCTGCTCGCGCATCAGTTACCTTTCCATGATGATATGAGGAATCGATCGCAACAACTGAGTGCTTATACTGGAAAGAAAGAACCTGCGCTAGATAACCCTGACATGTGGACACAATGGTACATTTGTTAATGATCTTTAACACACTTAAGGAAAACTATATGCTAAAGTTCAGCAGTAGGAAAACTATATAAAACTTTATACTACTTTTAATCTGAAGGAAAACTATATAAAAACGAAATTCATCAGTGAAAAAATTCCTTGAACAACCAAGAGGAGAAGTTAGCAATGCAGAGAAGAAAAGTCTAAGAATAACCTCTATCGAGTTACCTAGAGAGAGATATGCAAAAATGATACTAACCATGTAATTTTCATTGATGAGTAAACATGAGAAAGGGGTTGAAGATACCTGGCCAGAACCGACATCAACGACAGTAGAATCTCCAACACTGCTAACAACAGAGCTTACAACAGAGGAAAGAACTTCAACCTGCATGATGATAACACAACCATTACCATAAGTGACTTACAGATCCATGTGGGAAGGACACATTTGCTAGATAAACGAATAAAATAAAACATTGGTTGTGACCTGAAAAAAATATAAATGCTATGAGCTTTGGTGTTTATAACGACTAGCAAAATTCTACTTTACATGTGAAGTACTAAAGACTTGGACTTGAACAGCTACAAACCATTAGATTATCCTCTTTTCAATAAAAATTTCTTCACTGGACTTAGGTACAGTACAGCTAAACTGCAGAGACAACTGTTCACTACTAAAGTTCAAAACTAGATATCAATGAAAGACACTGTACCTCATGCTTTTTCTTAAGATTCATTCCCTGTGAAAGAACGGTGCTAAGCGGTGCCGTATTCACATCTGCGAGTATCTGCCAACAGTGAAAAATGACACCATTCACGTGTTTCATACTCTCCCAAAATAAGTAAGATATAGTGCAGAGTATACACAACATACCTCCTGTAGTTCCGCTTGCTCTCTAGGCAACGATAGAGACCTCAACGTGTGAACAAAGTCCTTGAGTGAAGCAGGCCAGTGTTCCTAACAAACACACGCACAATCAATTTTTTTTCAGCGTAAACTAAAACTAACACAAATAGGAAGAGACAAAGTCAAAGAACTTTACCTGGACACTACCGGAGGGTATAAGAAGAATATTTTCAGGCTTCTCATTCCTTAAACAGCTCATCCATTCCTCATCAACAGCTTCCCATAGCTTATCCTAAAATTAAAAAAAAAAAAAAAAAGGAAAATCTTAACTTTATATATTACTTCCGGAGCTCGACCAGAAAGAAAAAAAGAGATACCTTTAAGAAATTGCCAACGTGAGAATTGATTAGGAAAGAAAAGGGTTTAAGGAAATCGATGATTGTGGTGATCCATTCTACGGTTTCGAGACTTGTGTTGCACGAATACTTGCCGCTCTTCATTGTTTCCGACAAACCTGAGTAAGGAGAGAATGTAGTAGTCACCGCCGGACAGACAAAGAGTAGAACAGAACACTCGCTTATTAGCTTTGGTCGTCAAAACGTTTTCGAGAAACACCTCGTAACTTTTGAATTTGTTCATTTTGGGCTACATTTTATTATTCTCTTACAAATAACACCCTTCAAGTCACGTGACCGTTGACCAAAAGCTGAAACCTTCTCCCTCGCACCGAGTCTTCAAGAATGGGACATCACAGCTTTGCCACTGTTTCTATTTCTCACTAATTTTTTTCCTAAACAAAATAATTGACTATACTAATAGACTTGATGATGGTTATTTGTATGAATTGAACCAGATATCCAAATAAATCTAAAATTTCTCGGATATTCAAAATCGGATGATTACGGATCAAACCAAATCAAATAATTGTTTATTCGAACAAAACATATCAGATCATAAATATTTGAAAAAAATTAAATATTCGATCCGTGTCCATCTTTGAAGATATATCTATGGATTAGATTCTATAGTTTGTATTTATCCATGGTTGAGGAATACACCGATGATCTATTCCTCAACTCCTAGCTCTCTCTCTCTCTCTCTTGATGGATGCTTGTATCTATTCGAGCTGCATGAGAACAAGGAGACTTCATAGAAGTTATAATACTTCCCATCTTTGATCCCATAATCTCACATTCTCACCTAGGAATGTCGTCATCATTGCGAAAAGGCGCTGACCCTAAAGCTAATACTCTGCCTTTACTGGTCCCCAGTTTCTGTCGTGTGAACACTTTTCTTCTTTTCATGATATGTACAAGAAAATATGGCAAGGTTTCCTTTGACTTTCACCGTACTTGCTTTCAAAACCTCGGTTCATCATTGTTTATTCATTTCGTCACCCAACTTTATAACATTTCATTGAATATCTAATTAAAAAAATCTGTTTTCTTCTTATACACGTTATTACTAGTTTTTTTTTATGTTGGTTAAACACGTTATTACTAGTTAATTAGAACTTAACGCTTAACTTAGAAGTTGAAAACAGATTAAATAGGTTATAAATTCTAACAGATTTCATGGTTATTTTGTAAAATTAAAGTGTGTCTTGTAATTCTACTCTAATTCATTTGATTTATCTATTTCAATACATAAAATACCTTTTTCTGTGTAGGAATAGCTGTGAGGAATTTCTATTTAAGTATGCAAATAAAAAAACTTACTAAAGAAAATCATAATGCATTTTGGTGACAAAAGATATTTTATTTACGATACATGTTGAAAAGCATTTATTCCAGTTATAATATTACAATCAAGAAAGCAAAACAATTGGTTCATCCATAATTAGACCAGTCATTGGCCTAATACTAAAAACAACATCTCCTTTCCAAGAAAGGTGAAGAATTATGCCGATGAATGAGACGTAAAGTTGCTAATAATACGAAAGTCAAATAATTAAACGTAGGTTTATTAAGAAAGTCGTAAATAATTAACACGGATAGACATTTGAAACATGAGAAAAAAAATGAAAGACATAAATAAAAGTAAAAAAAGACGGTCGTCGGGAGCAACGTCTAAGATACAGACGTGTGGGTTACGTTGACTTTTACCCGCCAGCAGACAAATAACGTCTCCCTTCTTATTCATTCATCTCTCTAGTCTTCCATTTCAACAAACCCGTTATCTGATATCCACACACACGAGGCCAAAACAAGTAGAGAGAGACAGCGACTATGTTCGCATAAAGACAGATACTTTAACCAAGTGGACAACCTGCGATTTCTGAAACACTTTCTCTCAGGTGGGTTTTTCTTTCTTTCTTTGTTTCATTCGTTTTATCTGCGAATGTTTCTTGTTTTTGTTCTCTATCTTGTGAAGATCAAGATTGCAAGTTGACAGCTTTGTTTAACTTTTGAGGTGTTTGGTCCAAACTAGGATGTTTTTTCTTTGGGAGTTTCTTACTTGAACAGAGATTTCTATGTCTGGTTTAGTAGTTACAAGTCAAATCTCTGAAGTATATCTCGTTATTTTTTGGGTAAACCGGTTAATAAATTGCAGAAACAGTTCATAAGTCTGTTTAACATTGATGGGTTGCTTCTGGTTCTCACGTCACAAGAGTGGAGGAAAGCCTTCAGAAGTTGATGGAGGTACGTATACATGATCTATAGGTTCTTGAAATGTATAGTCCTCTGTTTCTGATTTTCTTTAAATTAATGTACAAATATATGTATGTATGCAAACAGAAATTTCAGTGACAGACAAGGTAAAGATTTACAAATACAAAGAGATTCGTCTAGCTACAGATGATTTCAATCCCCATAACAAAATTGGAGAAGGAGGGTTTGGTTCTGTGTACAAGGTAGACGAGAAACATCATTTGCTTATTTAAATGCCCTCTTCCTCATCTTAACTCTTTGGGAACAAAATATCAATGACTATAGGGTCGTCTTAAAGATGGAAAGGTGGCAGCTATAAAAGTCCTGTCTGCTGAATCAAGACAAGGTGTAAGAGAGTTTTTAACTGAGATCAATGTGATATCAGAGATACAACATGAGAATTTAGTTAAGTTATATGGATGCTGCGTGGAGGGGAATCACAGGATTCTTGTTTACAACTATCTCGAGAATAATAGCCTTGATAAGACACTTCTAGGTGAGGTGACTCTCGTAATACTCTTTCAGTGTTTTGTAATCTCATTACTAACCGAATGAAATGTTTTTTTTTTTTGCAGCTGGGGGCTACACTCAGAGTGGGATACAGTTTGACTGGACTACTCGTGTCAATATCTGCATTGGGGTTGCTAAAGGTCTTAAATTTCTTCATGAAGAAGTAAGACCACATATAGTTCATAGAGATATCAAGGCAAGCAACATTCTACTTGACAGAAACTTGTCCCCAAAGATCTCTGATTTTGGACTTGCTAGGCTTATGCCACCGAACATGACTCATGTCAGCACTCGTGTCGCCGGTACACTGTGAGTTCCAAATATTTGTATAAGTACATTTTGTTATTCTCGCTGATCATTGCAGTTCTTAACAATTGTTCACATATGTCTTTGGCAGTGGTTACTTAGCGCCAGAGTATGCTGTTAGGGGACAGTTAACACGTAAAGCAGATATATACAGCTTTGGTGTACTTCTGATGGAGATAGTCAGTGGAAGAAGTAACAAAAACACACAGTTACCCACAGAATATCAATTTCTTCTTGAAAGAGTAAGTCTTTTGCTTAGTAGTTTTTCTAGTTCGTAATGTCTAAGCTCTTAACCTTTTGTTACATTCCACAGGCTTGGGAACTTTATGAGCGGAATGAGCTAGTGGATCTTGTTGATACAGGGCTAAAAGGAGTCTTTGACGTAGAGGAAGCTTGCCGGTACCTAAAAATAGGTCTTTTGTGCACACAAGACAGTCCTAAGCTAAGACCAACCATGTCCACAGTGGTGAAGTTGTTAACGGGAGTGAAGAATGTAGACAACAAGAAAATAACAAGGCCGGGTTTGATATCTGATTTTATGGACTTGAAAGTTAGAGAACCGGTGGAAACAAAGCCAGAGGAAGTGACCAGACAGAACTACACAAACCCTTCTTCTTATAATGTCTCGTCTAGCTCAGGGACTAGAGATAACTCATCAGGGGCTTCATCAACTAATGCGGTTTGTTCATTCAGCAGTACCGTTTAGAAAAGAGTAAAGTTCCTTTTTCACAACAGTTTTTGATTTTGAGAGATATATATAGAAGTTTGAAAATGAATCTGGTTTGAGTGTATGTATATAAGATTTGAGGGTTCTCATTACTTGAACCTTTTATGAAAATTTACTTTCAACAAAGATGTGTGAGTATTTTTTGTTACTCGGAACTGAGACCTAATTAATTATCCCTAGATCAAATTAGTAGGGGGGAGAGGATTCCTTAGAATTTGAAGTGAATCCTGGTCTTTTTTTTATATATTTTTTCAATTAAGAGTAGTTATAACTATTTTAAATACAGTTCTTAGTTTTTCTTAGTTAAAATCTAATAAAAGTTAAGAACCGTTTAGGCTAAAAACCTCAGTTGAAAAGATTGAAATTAATCATGGTCTAACTTCAAAAACAGAGCAAATGACAAAAAAAAAATTAAAAGGATAACTGGAATTGATCATGGTCTAATTTTAAAAACAGAGCAAGTGGCAAAAAAAAATTAAAAGGATAAATCTGTCAGTTACCAATTAACAGATACATATGATAAGTTACACCGGAAATATCGGAACCCTAGATTCGAAGGATTAAATGAATCGTTTTTAGGTCTCATCAGGAGCCAGCAGACTTCATTGTGCGTTGTGGAGATTCAATGATCGTAATCAGTAGTAACGTTTTTGTGTCAGCGTGATCTCGTGAGGTAGATGGTTCACAAGTTCCGTGATCAACAAAGATGGCTGACAAGTTCCGAAATCAGAAGAGATGGCTCTTGTTTCTATTTCATGCACGGACCTGCAAACGGTCAAGAGTGAAGTGCCCGGACCGAAACTGCGTTATTGTTCAGAAGTTACTGAGTCACATGAAAAGTTGTGTAAAACCTCAGTGTTTGTATCCTCGTTGTCGTCCCACAAAGTTATTGATTAGCCACTTTATAACCTGCAAGGATCTTCGGTGCCCCGTCTGTGTACCAGTGAAGACCCACCGTCAGCAGGAAGCTAATGTACGTGCCATGTCCGGTTTAAGATTGGAAAGGAGTACAGTGGCCAAAGCTAGAGCTGTTTCTAGTGTTCCTGATCATTGTGCTGATGCTTCAAATAATTTGAAACTCCGAGAGGACATGAGAACGTTCGTGTTAGTCTTTGCTTCCTCCCACCATATTGCATTGCTTGTCTTTTAGTTGCCGCTGTGTTACGGATTGTGTTAATGCTGTCCTGTGACTGTTTTGGCTACATTGCTGCGTCTGTCTTTTTCTTAAGAAACTATAGAATATTCTTATAGTTTTGAGAATCGTTTTTTGGTTATAACTTCATTTTGAACATGTTACACCTGCATGAACCCTTGTGTAACCTATAACATTTTTTTACACTGTTTATTGCGTCTTCCCGCCATATCATGTATATGTCTGTTCATCTTGCAATAGATTTAGTATTGTCTCAATGTGGGTTGGGACAGGATCCAACTGATTACTGTCTTGGCTGCATTACTTTATATCTTCACTGTTCTGTTCCTTTAAAATTTTATTGATAGTAACACTTCATGGGGGACTATTTTTAACTAAGTCTCCTTGATCTTCTATTGGTGTTTTTCTCCTACTCCTGATATGCTATTTTCCTAAATTCTAGTCTTGTCACGTTGGTTTTTTTATCGTTAACAAATTGTCTCCCACTGGGTGTATCCTTGAGAATTCGTTTCTAACTGAACTTTCCAGCTTCAGGGAGTTACAGAAAAGGAATCCATGTCCAGCTGATGATGCATCAAAGTCTAAATATTTGGATGTTACTAGAAGTTTAGAGGAGGTTCTTTACCAAATGGCTAACACAAAGGTATTAACTACTTAATATATTCGGGGATAATTAGCAACTTGATTTACTGAGAATTTCCAACTAAACAAGATTGTCTGAACCTTAGACATTATTGTTGTCTCTACCTCCAGCTTTGCTGAATCTCACTATAAAATATCTTTCTATACTTTGTGAGACTTTTATATCAACTTAATATTTACAGGAGGATAACATGAACACGACAACCCTCGAATCTCGTTTAGCAAGCTTAAAATTGAATGATTACAATCAGATTCAGCGAAACGCTAACGCTAACTCTCCTGAAGTTTCTGCTGAGACCACGATGGTACATGATCACAATAGACCTATGTATATAACAATTGCTCTCATACTCTTAAGACTTAAGAGACTATGATTTCTTGTCCTCTGCAGGAGATAGAGAAGGTTCATGAAAACAGAGATGGCAGAGATTGTGATGTGTCCATGAGCGTTTATCCCTGAAACCTGATTCGAATGTTTTTCTTCATTACTTCTGTTACAAGTAACTATGGTATCATATAATAAGTGTAACACATGCTTCAACATTTGCACTTGCTACCGCATTACTTGCAAGATCGTACGTACCGACTGTGAAACGGGTTATAATTTGGTTCCGGTTTGATCTTTATTTTGTTACTCTGAGTACCAAAAGATAAGCAAAGCAAAACTACAAGGGTAAAGATTGTAAATAATTAGGACATTTGTGATTACAATGATCGGACGGTCAGGAACGTAAACTATCACCCGACACTTCTCCTTGTCTGTTGGATTAACTCAACCTCGGTTTCCACCAAATTAATTTTCCTTTTACGTATTCAGACATGAAAAGAAACATAAAGGTAATTGTTATTTAATGTGTCTTTTTTTCTTTTTATTCGTTTACTAACTTACAAAATCAAAACGAAAAAATCCCTAAAAAAAAACAAAAATCCCCAAAATCGAGCGAGCGAGAGCGCCATCCCCAATTCGAAGAAGTCTCCCCCGATATCGAAATCGTTATTTCATCGTCTTTCTCTTCTAGGTTTTGGATTCTCTTCCTGGGTCCTTATCTACTTTGCTCGTTTTGATTCTAAAAATTGTATTGTTTTTTCTTTTCTTGTCGTCTGTGTGAGGTCGTTCCGTTCACACGTGCGACATCACCGACTTTATTGCTCTGTTTCTACTGCGTTTTCCGGTGATTCGATCATCGTAATCTCTAGTAACGTTTTTTTGCCTTTCGAGTGATAAAAAGTTTACTTCTTTGTGCATTAATTTTCAAGGTTGGATTTGAGTTTCTAGGTTTTTTATTTATTTTAGGGGTTTAATTCATATTTTTTGAAGATACATTTTGGTTTGTTTGTTGGTTATTGCAATAGGGCTTTGATCATATAGTCTATGATTGTATGCCACTTCCGTTTTTATGTGAGTGAGAGATTGTTTTTGCAGGAGTGCTAGGTGTATTTTGTGTTAAAAGTTGCTACACTGAGACCATCTGAAGGATAGTTAAAGACCAGGAAATGAGCTTTGGATTCGGGGTGGAAGAGTTATGCAGTGTCTGTTAGTTCTGGTTAGGATAAGGCGACCAAGGTTTAAGAAATCACATGAATGTTCAGGCTCACTTGTCGGGACAGATATCTGGGCAGGTTCCAAATCAAGGGACAATGCCGCAGAGTAATGGGAACTCTCAAATGCAGAATGGTGCTGGTGTTGGTGCTGGTGTAGGGCCTTCTTCACGTAACATTGTTGGTCCTATGGACCATGATATTTTGAAACTCAGACATTACATGCAAAACCTTGTGTAAGCCTTCAACTTATTAGCTGGAATTTTTTTAACGTCGTCCCACTATATCATGTCTGTATGTTTTGTTCATCTTATATGGTTTATAATGGATTGAGTAAATGTTATCTAATTGTGGGCTTGGAATGATCGAACTGATTACCTTCTTGGCTGCATTACTGTATATCTTCTTTGTTGCTCAAGACCTGATTTTCCAGTGTTTATGCTCATTAAGATTCTCTGATAAGCTCTTCACGGGGGACTGTTTTTAACTGAGACTCCTTGATTTTCCAGGTTTAACATGTTACAACAACGGCAACCATCTCAGGCCGATGCTGCATCGAAGGCAAAGTATATGGATGTTGCTAGACGCTTAGAGGAGGGGCTGTTTAAGATGGCTATCTCAAAGGTATCTCAAAGAGTTTCTGTGTGTCTAAATGATAACATACTTGATTGGGTAGTTAGCATTTAGGATTTGGTTTACTGGTGAATCCCATCAAGATTGGCTGATGCTTTTGTACATGTTGACTCATGTCCTTCTTTAATTTTCGTTTGTTACGTTTTTCAACTCATACTACTAGGAGGATTACGTGAACCGGTCAACGCTCGAGTCTCGGATTACAAGCCTAATAAAAGGAAGACATTTGAATAACTACGGTCAGCGACATGCTAATTCTTCTTCGGTTGGAATGATGATACCTACTCCAGGATTACCACATGCTGGGGTTACTACGATGATACCTACTCCAAGATTACCACATACTGGTGATAGTCCTAGTTCGATGGTTACACCCTCCGCTGATACTACTATAGCTGGAAACATCAACAGCACAAGTAAAGCTGTGAACACTGGAAACCTTCTTGCTGCTGGTGGCATGCATGGAGGTTTTTTTTCACCAATAAATCATTTCCTGGAAATTTTCATCTCATGAGTCTCTGATACTTTAAAAATTTCATTGCAGGTAATATGTCTAATGGATTCCAGAATTCATCGAGAAACTTTCCTCTTGGTTCAAGAGGGAGCATGGCATCCATGGGTTCTCAAAGAAGTGCTCCCCAAATGATTCCTACACCTGGGTTCGTTAACAATAGTACTAATAACAACAGTAGTGGATTTTCTGCTGAGCCCACGGTGGTACCTCAGTCTCAGCAGCAGAAGCAAAGGCAGGATGCTGGTGGTCAAAATAGCCAGAGACCCGTCGTGCAACCAAAGCCGTCTAGCCTGGCCAATAAATCTGTAAATGGTGGTGTTGGAGTGAACGGAAAAAGTGTAGACACAGGTAGTTCTTCAAAAAAATTACAGCAGCCCATTGATAACTTCCCCCTGTCAGGAAAGCAGGGTAAGTTCTCTCTCTTTTCGTCTGTCCTGATCATCTTATTCTATATGTATGGTTCTTTCTTGTGCTTTGGCACTTGTGAATGACTAATACGAACCTATCAGAATATTTAAAGTATGTTTTATATTACAGGGGAAGGTTGTAGAACAACAAATCCTGACAACTTTGGATCTAAAAATTTGCATGGAGGTGTAACATCGGTTGGGAAGATGACACATGCTCAGAATATCAATCCAGCAAGTGTCCAGTCTGTGTCCAGAGCTAACTCTTCTCAGGTGAGAAATCAATCGATTCTTTTGCACACCACTTAAACAATTATCACTTTTGGTATTCGGACTTTCAATCTTCTTTCTTTCCCTATATTAACTGCAGTCACATCAACAACAACAATTTCCGCAACAGCCTAATCAGATTCTGCAACAGCAGCAGAAATTTCCCCAGCAAAAGACATTGAAGCAGCAGACCCTGCAGCAACATAAATTAATAAGCAGAGATGGTCCCGGGAAACCTCAGGTGGCTTCTGAAATGGTTACAAATGTTAAACATGAACCTGGAACGGCGAACCATAGTGAAGCTTTGCACTCCCAAGCATCTGAACGACTGCAGCTTTCTCAGTTCCAAAGTCAATACCAGAATACGGGAGCAGATCGCTTTGCAGACGCTCAACATGTCTCAGTTACAAGTCAGAGTAATATATGCACGCCACTTCCTCAAAACAGCCAACAGGTTCAGCAAATGATGCACCCGCAGAATATGGGCTCTGATACTATCAACAGCTTTAGCAACCTAGCTGTTGGAGTAAAATCAGAATCCAACCCACAGGATCAGTGGCCTTCCCAGTCTCAGGGAAACACTCAAATGTCTAATGGTATGTCAAGTGAACAGAACGTTCAGGAAGATTTCCGTCAAAGAGTTACCGGAATGGATGAAGCTCAACCTAATAATTTGATGGAGGGGTCTGTTATTGGTCAGAATCATACTTCTACTACCACATCCGAATCCCATAGTCTGCAAAATGCTACTGGAACGGCATGTAGATATGGAAACCGCGATATCAAGTTCCAGAACCAACAGAGATGGCTCTTGTTTCTACTTCATGCACGGACCTGCAAACGGCCAGGAGTGAAGTGCCCGGGACGAAATTGCGTTACTGTTCAGAAGCTACTGAGTCACATGAACAGTTGTGTAGAACCTCAGTGTTTGTATCCTCGTTGTCGTCCCACAAAGTCACTGATTAGTCACTATAAAAACTGCAAGGATCTTCGTTGCCCCGTCTGTGTACCAGTGAAGACCTACCATCAGCAACAAGCTAATGCTCGTGCCCAGGCTCGTTTAATAAATGAAAGCAGTGCAGTGAGTGGAGTGAACGGAGCTGTAGTATCAAATGATTCACCATGCGCTACTGATGGAGCCGTTTCTGGTGCCCCTGGCTGTGCTGATAGTGTAGATAATTTGGAACCTTCATCAAAACGGTTGAAGGTAGAGCCTTCTTTTCAACCAGTGGTCCCTGAGACTGAAATTTGTAAAAAAGAGACAGAGTTATCTCAGGATGCGGAAAGAAAGGATCATATGCAGAAGGATGCACTGAAGTCAGAGAAGTTGGAAGTGAAAGAAGAAATTCCTGATATTTCTGTTCAAGCAGGATTCACCATCAACGAGATAAAACATGAAGCTGTTGAAACCAAGCCTAGGCCTGTCAGTGAACCAGGCCAACATGATTTATCTGGTGCCTCGCTAAAGCAAGAAAACATAAAAATGGAGAAAGAGCCGAAGGAAGAAGTTCTGGTGGAGTCTTCTGACGTTGTTGCATCAAAACCTGGAAAACCGAAGATAAAAGGTGTTTCTTTAACTGAAATGTTCACTCCAGACCAAGTGAGAGAACATATTCTTAGTCTTCGTCAGTGGGTTGGCCAGGTGTGCAATTTTATTGACTTCAGAAGTTTACAGAAAATCATTTTTTATTCATTGATTTATCCATTTATTTTCTCTTCATCGCATTGTATGTGTTCGCTGATGAATAACTTGCTATTTAATTTCTATTTTTTTCTGCAGAGTAAAGCCAAAGTAGAAAAGAATCAGGCCATGGAAAATTTAATGAGTGCGAATTCCTGCCAGTTATGTGCGGTGGAGAAGCTTACATTCGAGCCACCTCCTCTTTATTGTACTCCTTGTGGTGCTCGTATCAAAAGAAATGCAATGTACTATACTGTTGGAGCTGGTGAAACTCGTCATTACTTTTGTCTTCCATGTTTTAATGAATCCCGAGGAGAGACAATACTCGCTGAAGGAACTTCAATACCGAAGGCAAAACTCGAGAAAAAGAGAAACGATGAAGAGACTGAAGAAGCGGTGAGTCTATTCACTCAGTAGAGTTGTATAGTCATGTGCGTCCTGCTTTGTAGGTTTTCTAAAGTTTGGTCTATTGCGCTCAATTGTTTTTGCAGTGGGTCCAGTGTGATAAATGTGAGGCCTGGCAGCATCAGATATGTGCTCTATTTAATGGGCGGAGGAATGATGGGGGGCAAGCTGAGTACACCTGCACAAGGTGCTATATAACTGAGGTGGAGCAAAATGAGAGAATTCCTTTACCTCAAAGTGCTGCTCTTGGAGCAAAAGACCTGCCAAAGACGATCCTTAGTGACCATATAGAGCAGCGTTTATTTAAAAGACTGGAGCAGGAAAAGACTGAGAGAGCCAGGGCTAAAGGAAAAAACTATGATGAGGTAATCTGCCGATTGGTCTGTACAAGGTTTAAGGTCTCATGTGCTTTTGCATCTTTGAGTCCCATATTTTATTAAATGGCTGTTGTGCTTCTTCACTGGAAACAATATATTTAAGTTTACTGGTTGGTCACTTATTGTTTTGCTGTATTACTGCCATTGACAGGTTCCAACTGCTGAATCCCTTGTGGTTAGAGTTGTTTTATCCGTTGACAAGAAGCTGGAAGTCAAATCTCGATTTCTTGAAATTTTTAGGGAGGATAATTTCCCCACTGAATTTCCATACAAGTCTAAGGTAAGAATGATCCACACGCACCTCTATTGTATTTACTTGACGTTCACATTTTCAGGATTCCACTCTTTAAATAATAAACTTCACTCTCCATGTTTTATTTTGTCAGGTTGTTCTATTGTTTCAGAAGATCGAAGGTGTAGAAGTGTGCTTGTTTGGGATGTATGTCCAAGAATTTGGATCCGAATGTTCATCTCCTAATCATCGCCGTGTATATCTCTCGTATCTGGATTCTGTGAAGTACTTTAGACCTGAGATTAAAACAGCTAATGGAGAGGCTCTGCGCACTTTTGTATACCAAGAAATTCTTGTAAGTCCTGGTTTAAAGCAAGATTTGTGTGGTGTTTAGTCTTTACATTGCATGGAGGTTTCAAGGGTATACATTGATGCTTTTTTTTTTCTTTCAGATTGGTTACCTGGAATACTGCAAAATGCGTGGTTTCACTAGCTGCTACATATGGGCTTGTCCACCACTGAAGGGTGAGGACTATATCCTATATTGCCATCCAGAAATTCAGAAAACGCCAAAGTCTGATAAACTACGGGAGTGGTTAGTAACAATTGCATTTAGTGATTTTCTTCGTAAATTTTTCGTACCCTTTACATCCTCCACTTGTTTCTGGTTTAGGTACTTGGCAATGTTGAAAAAAGCTGCAAAGGAAGGGATAGTAGTGGAAACGACAAATCTATATGACCATTTTTTCTTGCAAACTGGTGAATGTAGAGCTAAGGTTACGGCAGCTAGGCTCCCGTATTTCGATGGTGACTATTGGCCAGGTGCAGCAGAGGATATCATACAACAAATGAGTCAAGAAGATGATGGTAGAAAAGGAAATAAGAAAGGAATACTCAAGAAACCCATTACAAAAAGAGCTTTGAAAGCGTGTGGCCAGTCTGGTCTGCCTGGGAATACGTCTAAAGATTTGCTGCTAATGCATAAAGTAAGAGTTTCTTTCTATGCACCTTCCCACTCCTGCATGCCAGCTTAAATAATTCGGTTATTTGTACAGTTTTGTGTGTTTACCTATTAATATTATTCTGTTTGTTTTTAGCTTGGTGAGACCATTCATCCAATGAGGGAGGATTTTATCATGGTTCACTTGCAGCATTCTTGCACGCACTGCTGTGCACTGATGGTAACTGGAAACCGTTGGGTCTGCAACATGTGCAAAGATTTCCAGTTATGTGATGGGTAAGTATTGTTCTGCCTTTTGTTTTCTTTGTTATTGTGACTTTGTTTGTATAACTTGGAATCTTGTTGGAAGAGGCTTATAGGTATACACCTATATGTGTTTTTTCCTGATAGAGTGCTGCACATTTCCTGATACGTTATTTAACCTTTCAGGTGCTATGAGGCTGATCAGAAACGAGAGGACAGAGAAAGGCATCCTGTTAACCAAAAGGATAAACATACACTGTATCCTGTAAGTTTCTTTGGCTTGTAATACACGTTACAGTTCAACACACATGTGTTTCTGTATTTTATTTTATCTAACGAGACGAATTTTTGTACATGTTTTTGTAGGTTGAGATCACCGATATTCCAGCAGACACTACGGATAGAGATGAGATACTTGAAAGTGAATTTTTCGATACGAGACAAGCATTCCTGAGTCTTTGTCAAGGAAACCATTATCAGTATGATACACTAAGGCGAGCAAAACATTCTTCCATGATGGTGCTTTATCATCTGCACAATCCAACTGCTCCTGCATTTGTCACAACATGTAACGCATGCCATCTCGATATTGAAAGTGGTCAAGGCTGGCGCTGTGAAGTTTGCCCAGACTACGATGTATGCAATACTTGTTACAGTAAAGAGGGCGGTGTGAAGCATCCTCACAAGTTGACAAACCATCCATCACTAGCTGATCAAGATGCTCAGAATAAAGAAGCTAGGCAATTGCGCGTCTTGCAGGTATTGAAAATATTCTCCTCTTGAAAAAGTTGCATCATCTTCTCTTGCTCTAGGCTTCATCTTGTTTGATGCTAACGTTTTCATTGTTTAATATTTGCAGCTAAGGAAAATGCTTGATCTTCTTGTGCATGCGGCGCTATGCCGTGCTATGTATTGTCAATATCCCAATTGCCGTAAAGTGAAGGGACTATTCAGACATGGCATCCGTTGCACAACACGTGCTGCAGGTGGTTGTGTTCTTTGCAAGAAAATGTGGTATCTCTTGCAAATCCATGCTCGAGCCTGTAAGGAATCAAATTGCAATGTGCCTCGATGCGGGTAATCTCTTTAGCTTCTACCCCTTTCTAACATTATTCACTCTCCTCATCTGAGACTTGCTGTAAAAGTTTTTCGAATATTTGTATTGATCATTGTGAATCTCTTTACTCAGGGACCTAAAGGAACATCTGAGAAGGTTAGCGCAGCAATCAGAATCACGGCGGAGAGCAGCAGTGATGGAGATGATGAGACAGAGAGCTGCAGAAGTCGCTGGGACTTCCGGTTGATTAAATTTTTGTATATACTTATTTCATTTAGGATATAAGTAGGTGGAAAACTAATCTTCTTTCCGAAGGTTAAGAAGATAGAAGAAGCTGGTGTGTCTCTGAGCTCACTCAAAGGAAGTTATGGTAAAGCAGAAATAGAGTGTATATAATAAATCAATGGATCACCGACCAATCAAAGCTTCATATAGAGTCTTGGAATCTGATTTATTCCTTTCTGCGACCTGACCAGAGAGCATAAGTTAAGCATCTAAGAAGATTCTTCTACATCAGTGGCCCTTAGGCTGAGAAACCCTTCCAAGTCACTGTGACTTGCACTTCTTTTTGTAGCCTGGTGTATTTCATAAAACGCCTTAGCAACAATCCGCTGATTATGTATAAGTAGTTTCTTAACTTTCTAGGCAAGTAAGATGAAGGGAGTGTCTACGGATACGTCTCTAACATTTTTGATGCTCTGTATTAATAACATTTTCCATATCTTTAATTCAAATAGGTTCTGGCTTAGCAAATGTGACCGCGTTATTATTATTATTTTTTTTTAACACTGGAAGATTATATTGATTTCACATGACAACAAGATCATACACTACACTGATAACCGGTGAGTTTACCAAAACCCCAAAATTCAGAGCCAAAGAAAATAAGAGATTTTCCTGGAAATTAAAACCTGTTTAAAACCTCCAGAGTCCAAAGCCAGAGAAAATAAAAAAATTTCATGGAAATCAAAACCGGGAGACTAAACAGAATTCCTGGAAACCAGAATATCAAAGAAACAACAAGAGAAAACAAAATAAACTGATCTAAATCAAATTAACAAGACACCCTAGCAAATAATATGACTGAGATTTGAGAGAGATTTAAGTAGTATATAAAACATATATTCCAGTAAAAGAAAATTTTATTGTATAGTACTAAGTTTTTTTTAAATATTTTTTAATGTATAGTACTAAGTTTTGTAAAGATTTAGATACCTATAAATACATATACATCCATAAATATATTTCTTTAAACGAAGTTCCTTCGGAATGGGGGCTCCATTGAAATGTTTTATTTCGATCTCCACAGGTCTGGCTCTGATTTTGAAGGTTAAAAATAGAGGTAGCATGTCTATGTTAAATCTATACCTCAAGGTTTAAAGTAATCCAATAAAAAGAATCAAATACTTTTCTTTAAAAAATTCTTAAGTTGTGTGGTTTGTTTTACCTCAAGAAAATAGATTTTAATCCAAAGATGTAATATCCATCAGATTCAAAACAGTAAAATAGAAAGAAAAAAAAATCTCAACCCATTACATCATCTGCTTTTGTTTTTGTTTTTGTTTTTGTTTTTAGTTTCCTCTTCTCTCCATTTGTGTTCTTGTATGAGAAAAAAAAGAAGAAGAAGGGAGAGATAAATATGTGGCTACCGAAAACAGATGCGACATGTAAAGGAACAAGAAGTGGTACAGTAGCTGTTGCAATAGAGAATGACAAAACTAGCAAAGTTGCTCTCAAATGGACATTGGAGAATCTTACTTCTCGTGGCCAAACTCTTGCTCTTATTCATGTCGCTCCCAAATCTCAATCTTCTTCAGGTTAATTTATATCCACATTTAAGGAATGCTTTTTCTCTCAATGATTCTTGTGAATGAGTTTAGGGCTTTTTATTTTTACATGCAGACATTGAAGACGGGACAATGAATATGCAGCACATGGATAAGCAAACAAAAGATCTCTTTGTATCTTTCCATTGTTACTGCACCCGTAAAGAGGTAATAATAATTTAAATCTAGAGCTTGTTAGAATCAGTTTTAATCAAATTTGGAGCTTTTTTTTACATAAATTATATAAATGTGCAGATCCATTGTTTGGATATATTGCTTGAAGACGTAGACAAAGTCAAAGCGATTGTTGAATATGTTACAATTTCTGCGATCGAGAATTTAGTACTTGGTTCTCCTTCAAGAAGTAGCTTTATGAGGTAATACAAAAAAAAAGATTATTAGGGTTTAAATTGATTGATTGCGTGCAACATAAGTTAAACCAAAATTAGTAATTTTTTTCTTACAACAGAAGATTCAAATCGGATTTACCAACGAGTGTGTCAAAGGCAGCTCCAGATTTCTGCAATGTTTATGTAATCTCCAAAGGCAAAGTCTCTTCTTTACGAAGCTCCTCTCGTCCTGCTCCTTACCATCCATCTGTTCTCAGCGAATTTGACTCTGAGAATAAACCTAAAATAGGTGAGAGTTTTAATCTTCGGAATAAATGTTACTTGCTTGCGTTTCAAGCAATGTTCAAAAATCGCTTATACCTATTTCTTTTAAACAATAATGTGACAACCCATCCCGTGGAAGCTCACAGCGCTAGCAGCGTATCGATCCCAACCCCTTTCTTATGAGTTCTCATTAACTCCATAATTAGGTTGTTGGTACCCCTCGAACCCAGAACCTCACCCTTTAACAACTCTCCCACAGAACAAGCTAATTATGGATTTAGTGACCACTTGTCCTGTGGGAGAGTTGTTAAATGGTGAGGTTTTGGGTTCGAGGCGCACCAACAACCTAATTATGGAGTTATTGAGAATTCGTAAAGGAGGGATTAAGGTCGGTGCATTGCAGCGTTTGTGAACCACGGTATGGGTCGTCAGAAATAAATTTCAAGTAATTCAACATAAGTTATTTTTACTTGTTCATCTTTTTGTTTTCAACAGTTAACACACCAGCATCACCTAGGCCACGAAGATCAGTTGAAAGAAGGTACTTTATGTTACATTACTCACAGAATTCTGTACAGTTTTGATTACTTAACAGTTTCTTGGTATCATTTGCGTGTAAATGAAAGGTTTACGAAACCGCCACAAGGACATATGAAACTAATTGGGGACTTCTCAGATTCAGAGTCCGAGTACTCATTCATAAGTTCTTCACAACAAGGATCAGAAAACTCCTTTATCAGCTCAGGGACGCCGAGCAGTATAGATAGGTGTTCTTTTACCTACGATTTACCAGACTCAGCAAGAACCTCAAGAATGTCAACTAGCTCAGAGCAGAGCATAGGATCACATAGATTAGGAATCAAGTTCACTGATTTGGGTTTTCTCAATAACTCTTCTACTGTTTCTGAAGAGAGTGGAAGAACTTCTTGCTCTTACTCATCTCAAAGCTTGGTATGAGTTATAATCACATTCAATTTCTGTAACATTCCACTGAAACCTTTGTTATGTTTCAGGATGATGTTGAATCTCAAATGAGGAGACTACGTTTAGAGCTTAAACAAACCATGGATATGTATAGCTCAGCTTGTAAAGAAGCTTTAACCGCAAGGCAAGAGGTATTATATTATAGATAAACACCATTCAATAACACTACTTCATTTTTTTTTTTTTTAAATACCACACTTAAAAAAAAAATCACCAAAATAGCACTAGTTAATATTAAAATATGTTCACTATTTTTATTGGATTTGGGTTTAGTTTTAGAATTTAAGATTTACTATTTAGAGGTTGGTGTTAGAGTTAATATTGTATGTCAAATTTAGTGTTTTTATTGATTAATGCTATTTTGAAGATTTTTCTTTTTTGAATGCCATTTTGTGACAAAAATTAAAATATGTGCTAGTTATGAGTTTTATCCTATATTATATACATCCTTGTATTGGATGTAGTATTTCAAGTGATTGATTGATTAAAACCAAAATGAAGTGTGCTTCAAAATTCTGTTTCAGGCAACAGAGCTGAAAAATCTGAGGTCAGAAGAGGAAAGAAGAATGGAAGAACTGAAGATGACAGAGGAGACAGCAATGTCAATGGTGGCAAAGGAGAGAGCAAAGGTTAAAACTGCCATGGAATCTGCTGAAGCTGCCAAGAGGCTTGCGGAAGCAGAAGCAAAGAGAAGACTAAACGCAGAGATGAAGGTCTTGAAAGAAAGTGATTCTTTCTCTGGACATAGCATTGTTCGTTACAGGAAATACAGTGTTCAAGAAATCGAAGAAGGAACTGATAATTTCGCAGAATCAAGAAAGGTAGGAGAAGGAGGGTATGGCCCTGTGTATAGAGGTCATCTTGATCACACAAGTGTTGCTGTTAAGGTTTTGCGTCCTGACGCTGCTCAAGGAAGATCACAGTTTCATAAAGAGGTAAAAAAAAAAGCAATTACTAAACCCTAATTTTTTAAAATATTTGTGTGTTTACTTGTGTCACAAGGAATAGGGTTTGTGAATTACAGGTTGAAGTACTAAGTTGCATAAGGCATCCAAACATGGTGCTTCTCTTAGGAGCCTGTCCAGAATATGGCATCCTCGTCTATGAATACATGGCCAGAGGAAGCTTAGATGACCGTTTATTCAGACGCGGAAACACTCCCCCCATTTCTTGGCAGCTACGTTTCAGAATCGCTGCTGAGATAGCCACAGGACTCCTCTTCTTACACCAAACCAAACCAGAACCGATTGTCCACAGAGACTTGAAACCAGGAAACGTCCTCCTCGACCAAAACTACGTCAGCAAAATAAGCGACGTAGGGCTTGCAAGACTAGTCCCAGCCGTAGCAGAGAATGTGACACATTACAGAGTCACATCAGCTGCAGGAACGTTCTGTTACATCGACCCTGAGTATCAACAAACAGGAATGTTAGGTGTGAAGTCTGATGTTTATTCACTGGGGATCATGCTTTTGCAGCTTTTGACTGCTAAACAGCCAATGGGTTTAGCTTATTATGTGGAGCAAGCTATTGAAGAAGGGAAGTTTAAAGATATGCTTGATCCTGAAGTACCAGACTGGCCATTTGAGGAGGCTTTGTCTCTTGCGAAGTTATCGTTACAATGTGCTGAGTTGAGGAGGAAAGATAGGCCTGATCTTGGTAAAGAAGTGATGCCTGAGCTTAATAGACTTAGAGAGATGGGTGAAGAGAGTCTTGAGAGTGTGTTTTTTGCTGGACATGGACGGATGTCACATGCTAGCCAAGTCTCTTATACATCGGTAAGGTTTTGTATTTAGTTTGTAGACATCTCATCAGATTAGATTATGTATCTTAGTTGATGTGTTGTTGTGTGGGAGTTGCAGGAAGGCAGGAGTGCTCCTTATATATCAAACCCCTAATTTTGGGAACAGAGAAGGAATCTGGTAAGATATTACATTCTCTTGTTTCATTATGAAGTTCATGTCTGAATCTTCTTGAGATAAACCCTCATATTGAGATTTTGATTTGCAGGAGAAGGCCAAGAACAATGTATATATTAGTTTTTTTCCAGTGTTGTATTAGCGGTAATTGAGTATCAGTGACTGATTTTTATACAGTTCCCAACTAATTTTCTAAATTCCTTGTAAATAACAAAGAAAAAGTAAAGCTAATAGATGGCAACGCATAACAGCGAACAAAAAAAAAAATTCCTAACAGAACTTTACATCCAAAATTTTGAAGCTGGAGTTACAAAATATTGTAAAGCATAGGCTAATTCATTATAGGTAGACCAAAAAAAATCTCCCAAGTGCTACTTTTTCGAGCTTGGACTCGAGAGAACCTATGATGAT